TAGACTGCTGTCAAAAATAAAAACCACAGTTAAATTAGCCCTACATAAACCTATGTTTAAAGAGTCCTGTATATAGATTAGTTCAGCACTAAGAGTAATGGATAAACAACCTTTAGTTTGACTACTCAGTAACATTTAGAAACCAAGTACTTGAGTCTATTATAAAAACAGGAGTTCATAAATGAAGCGTATAAGCTTACGTCAAAAACGTCCTTATTAACACCAAAGTCCATATGAAAAGAAGCCCCACAGAGGTTTTTCCATGCCCTACCGCGAAGGGAAGGAGGTATGCCTTTACGACACCTTTCCCGAACCTTTTCATACTTTTCAGTCATATAATACGACCAATTTGATAACATTTCTAACCACTTCTTTTCCCGATTCCGCAGCTTTTTAGGGTCAAATCGATTTTCGCGAACCCTGTAAGTTGTTGAAGAAAATGCTAAATGAACTGAGTTAGAGAGAAATAAAGTCTCCACAGAAAAGTGTAAGGAAAAGCTAAATTAATCCCACAAAGCAAATGAAACTATAAACTAACAGCGAATTAGCTGGATGAATAAATCCGAACTCATCAATTTTTGCCGTAAGAAATATGTCGTCCTTAGAAGCAAGGCCTGATTCATCAACATTCCCCTCCGCATCCTGTTCCTTGGTTTTCTCATAAGAAACGCGTTGCACTAAATGACCGGACTTTGAATGTGGGGTAACGAAAGACCCTTCTGCTGTTTTAAAACCATTCACCTCGTTGTGGCCACCCTGTAAAAAATCAAAATGTTTATATTTGACCGAAAGTTGATTAATGGCAAAAACGTGGTTGAGCAATAGACAAGCAGGAATACTGTTCTATCCTATATCAAAACAGTTCGACATCACATGTTTCTTAAATACAAGAAAATTTGCAAGAAAAGGTATGAAAAAAATAGATAATGAAGTAATGAAGTACAGTCTTAAAGCCTCCCAAATTTAAAGTAAACTTTCATATATATTCACTGTACAAAAAGAATCAACAAATGCGCACGTGACCCCAACAGTAACACCTGCAAGCCAAAAAATAAAACGCAACAATCCCTTAACAATATGTCAAAATAAATAGTTCCTGGAAGAAAATGAACTTCACGACATAAAAATTCCAACTTACAGAAACACTTGTACTCGGTCCTTCCACGTCATAATCAATCCCATCCTTCTGTTTTTTCTCCTCGTCTTTTGAATCAGATTCTTCAGGCACTGTTCCTGCGTTTCCACATCTATACTCAACCTTGTCGTCTGTATGATTATTCATCTGAAACACCAATATTCATACTTTAAATATTTAAAAATACTCCATATTTTCCAACTAGTCAAACGACGCCAACTATACGTTTAGGAAAATCGCTTAATACATATATATAGAGATAATCAGTGAAAATGAAAGTTCCAATGGTTGCAATAACCAATTAACTTTTTTTTACACTAACCTTAAACACAAACACACATTACGTATAGAGCCCATATATAACTAGTAAATCATTAGAGCGCGTTAAAAAATTACAAGCACTATACTAGCAAAAAACTAGTGAGATTCAACAGAAGTCTGCTCATAACCTTCCACATTCTTTCAGGTATACGACACGCTCGCTTTAATCTTACAGATTTTCATGTAAAAATTAGTTGCCAAACTTACTACTCAGCACTACATATGCCACTGCGACTTTGGAAAGTAATTTAATAAATGTCCTTCTGCACCTGTACACCTACGATAATATGAACGACGAGAAGAACAGAATGCATGACATCCACATCATTTCAATCAATATTCCATCCACTGCGTTAAAAAATGTGAGAAACACATAACTGGTTCAGGTTTTCCTATCTTTTAACTACCATTAGTTCTTTGAAATTATGAAATTCTAATTACATAAAAATACATGCAACACAAAATTCTTTTTAATAAAGCCAAAATTTGCTTTGATTTCATAAAAAAGCAAGAAAAAAGGAACGTAAACAACATGACGACAGGAGAGTGAAGAATTCTGTTGAACATACGAGAAGCCTTTTCGTCCACACAAAACTACAATGTATCGTAAAAGGAACCACTTCAGGATCGACAAACAGCGCAGTCGGTTGTCTAATTACTTACTAAAAACTGGTATTATTCAAGCTATTTACTTGCCTAAGATAATAAAAAGAAATTTTTCTTGTTCAATTACCCGTTAATTTTAAGTGCACACACACGGACACACACACACACACACACACACACAAATAAACAAACAAACGAAGTGACAAAGTGATGTATCAAATATTGCAGTATTCAAATATGTTAATTATTTGTCACTAAAATATCAACTAGATATCACAATTTTCCCTTCACACCGTAAAAAAAAATATTCTTAAGTCAATTTGGCCGCATTTCAGCTGCTGAAATGAACATAACAATAAATAAATTGAACTAAGAGGAGAAAAGCAATTAGACTTTAAAGAAAAAAAAAAGAAAAACAACGAAAAAAGGCTAAAAAATAACAACTTTTGCAATTGCTCAGCCCTCAATTGAAAGAAGTCTTTTTCAAGAAAATTGGTCCTTACAAGCGACACTCTTACGTACATAACATGTGTCTACAAATTTATATAGACTTATAAATCTAAATATGCGTACATCGTATTCTCACCGATATAGCTGCCAAGAAAGCTGTAATCTGAATAGAACAAAATGAGATTAGTTCATAACTTATTCCCAACCAAATTTCGCAAAGTAAAACTAGATTTATTTTTAAATCAACAATCCATCTGGAACTGGAGCAAAATGAAAGACAGATGATGAGTAACAATAATACAACTAAGTCAACTTTTTTTTTATGTCTACAGATATCTGCCATTTACATGTTTTAATCAAAACTAATATATTAAGTATATTTGAACCATTAAAATATACTGTCGATACCGACCGAGGAACTTTTCTGAACGTACAGTTCAAGTTTTAACTGAAAAAAAGAAAGCACATTTTTTCAACTCTTAAAATTCATTAATCCATTGTCAGATAAAATGAACGATCTATAATGAACTATAAACGAAATTAACATACAAGAAACCACCGACAAACGACCAAATCATCGTTCCGTTTAACTAGCGACTGGAACAGCAGCAGCTTCATGCCATATTTCATTTGGAGGGTTACACACCGCTGTTTTTGGCAACCGATTCCTTCGTCTACCACCTGCTGAAGAAGCTATCCCTGGCAGTGCAGTTCACATAATCGTACTCCATCTTCTATAATGAACTAAAAAGAAATTTTTGCACAACAGAACCAAAGGTTCTGTAGTCCCAACCTAAAAATTCCACTCGAATTTATATAGTTTTTGAAAAATATGGCAATAATATGTTAACTATGTAAACTGCCGGATCTAGCCTTCTGTTAAACCTGCAGTAACCACACTGTTTCAGACCAAAGGCATCATGTTGCAACATATTGTTTACATCTATTCTAAATCTCCTTATATTTTGCACCTTCTGTGAAAAACATTCAAAAAAATGAAAATGCAGCACCAATACATTATTTTTGTTTTAGTAGACAAAAAGAATACGTCATCCTAAAACTGCTCGTCAACACATCCTAAATACAGTAAAATCTAATCCAAAATTCAACTACTTTTTTGAAGCTGCACACGAAGAAAGTTTACCAGCCCTATTTACTCTAATAAATGATAGAAACTATAATCTCTGACACATCAAAGACTCCGTCCTAACAATTTTTTTCCTCCTTAAAAACATAAATAAGTAAATAAGCAAAAAATCAATCCGATACTCAGTACTTTTGCGAAGAAAAAAAAATCCTTCACTGATTTAGACTAAAAAACTACTACCTTGCCTTGAAGTACATAGGTAATCATAAAAAGCTGATCATTATCACAATGCATATATTCGCCAACAGCTTTAGAAGATGATTTACACCTGTTCAAAACCTCCCTGTTGTTCACAACGGATTTTATCTTCTTACACCAGACTCCACTTACTCATCAGGCATGGGGTTTGAAAATCGACGTAGTTTCAAGCTGACTACAATGTAATGTATGCAGTTATGGAAGTTAAGCTAAGTGATTGTTCAGTATAAATTAAATTCCCGATTCTTTTTATACCAATACTTCCTGTAACTAACAGACCAGATTTTTAAGTCGCATTGATCTTCCTGACTTGAACAAATAAAAACATTTGAATGCTGCAACTTAGACCTAATTTGCAGAAAGAAGGGCGAAAACAACGCTGTCTCTGTTTAGGACAGTAACGGATTTGTAAACGTCACAAATAACTTCAAATATGTCCTTCATATCGACTTATGCTCTACATCTATTACTTATACGAAATGATAGCTTAAGTCCATCAGTTTATTGTTACAGAGCTGTAATCTGTAACTTCAATTGCAGCGAATTGATAAATCAGTGAATCCTCTGCAAGTTTCAAGCAAAATAACAGATGAAGTCATCTATCTGTATCGACGATACGTTTATCATAATCCTTATAAAAATGATTCATCCGACAGACATTGCTTAAATATGTAAATAAAGTCTTTCCTCTTCCTTCTTCTCCATAGTTTGAATTTATTTCTCATATTTTATCGGAAAAGTACGCATCCGCTTCCTTTTTTTGCTCCTTGGAGATCAAAAAAATTTGATGACTTATCATCTTCACTCTTCCGTGGTGTTTTGTTAAATAAACAACCAAAAAAAAAAAACACCTTTTTAAGCTCCAGAACGACTGCCTTTTTCCTCTAGTTTTTTGCAACAATGAAAACATAATACAATGCCTACAAATGTTTCCACTTTTAATGACTTGTATAAGTCCATCTTAAGTCCGTAGTCTTTTTTTTCCTTTTCTTTTTTACACATAATGTCAGTACTTTTTCTTTTCATGGAACAACTGTGATTTACCGTAGACCATTCACGGTTTTATGGCTGTCATTATGCTCTCCTTCAATTCCGATAGTCAAAAATAATAGCAGTAATGATGATAATGGATTAAAAATACAACGCATTGGGAATTAGGTTAACAAATGTCTGTCCCCTTTCTCATCAGCAGACTAGCGATTTTTCACCGATACTGCAACAGGCTCCCAAAGCTACGTTACATTTCTTAATGCATGATTCCAACAATATATATATATATATATATATATATA